CTTGCCTTTACGTCTGCATCTGAACCTCCTTATTTATCGACGATGCTTCCCAGGTATGTGAAGGATTCCACATCTTCCAGAGTCTCGCCATCAAGAGTGATTGGATTGCTGTTCTTCTTGTTGTGTTTGAGGACCTTGGTTTTCCCTTTGTGTATGTTGAGGCCTACTGATGCAGAGACTGCTGCTATGCTGGTTGTCTTTATCTGCATTTGTTCGTGTGTGTGTGTGATAGGAGGGCTAGGTCATCTGCGAAGTCCAAGTCGTCTAATTGTTTCTGAGCTGTCCATCGTATGCCATGGTTTCCCTCAGATGACGAGGTCTTCATAATCCAGTCGACCACCAGAAGAAACAAGAAGGGAGAGAGTAGACAGCCTTGTCTTACTCCGGTCCTTACTTGGAATGCGTCAGTCAGCTGTCCTCCATGCACTACTTTGCACTGTAGTCCATCGTATGAGTTCCGGATAATGTTGACAATCTTCTCAGGAACTCCGTAGTGTCGAAGAAGTTTCCATAACATTCTCCTATCTACACTGTCAAATGCCTTCTCATAATCGATGAAGTTGATGTAGAGTGACGAGTTCCACTCAATTGATTGTTCGATGATGATCCGTAGTGTCGCAATCTGGTCTGTGCACGACCGGTCCTTACGGAATCCAGCTTGTTGATCTCGAAGTTGAGCGTCTACTGCGTCTTTCATCCTGTTCAGTAACACTCTGTTGAAGACTTTTCCTGGTATTGATAGTAGTGTAATGCCTCTGCAATTTTCACACTTGCTCAGATCTCCAAACTTTAGAATCTTGATGAGGTGTCCTTCTTTCCAGTTCATTGGCACTTGTTCCCCCTCCCAAATCTTCTTGAATAGAAGATGAAGCATGTTTGTAGTTACTTCGATGTCTGATTTCAACGCTTCAGCTGGTATATTATCAGGTCCTGCTGCTTTCCCGCTCTTGATTTGTCTGATGGCCATTCTGATTTCTTCCGTCGTTGGTGGATTGACATCTATAGGAAGATCTGTGTGTGCTGCTTCGATGTCCAGTGGATTCACTGGAGCCGGCCTATTGAGGAGTTCCTCGAAGTACACTGCCCATCTGTTCCGCTGTTGTTGAATCTCAGTGATTGGTCTTCCTTCTTTGTCTTTGACCGGCTCTCTGGTTTACTGTATTTCCCGGCTAGCTTCTAGTGGCAAAATTGCAAGATGTTATTATTTAAATGTTTGTATGTGTTCTACAGAAATTTTTACTCAACTTAAATAAAGTGTGTTTAAAAAAATTTAATAGAGTTGGTATATCAGGAAATTTAAACTTAATTTATAGGACGAAAGTTTTTCAAAGGCAATACAGTTACTAAACAGTTATCAGTATTGTACTTGTTCCTTAGAAATAATCGACTTGAATCGTTCAATCCACTGGTTATAGTTAGTAATTAGATATTAGGTGGTTGGAGATACTCAGTAGGGAACTGTGAACCTACGTACAATGTTACATAACACTCATCATGAAGGCGTATCGATAACATCGAGTGGACTGGTGCACTTGATTTAAAAATAAAACGAAAGCAACTAACAGTTCTTGAATCTCAATAGTAAAATGTTTGAGTGAATAGCAAATAATTCTTGACGGTATGAATGTTAATGAAGATTTCTTTGTTTTCACAATGACGACAAGCAGTTCAATATAAACTGTACCAGATAAAATGTAGGTATCGCTTATCGGCCTACTCATATTTTGGTAGTAGTCAAACAGAATTAGCAAAGGAATTTCTCATGAAAACGTTATGGAAAAATGACATATACATCGTGTTGGTTGAAGAAAATTAGTTTATCTGAATGACCAAATTGCAGTTTAATAGTTAAAAATAAAAAGAATTACATTTTTCTAATAGAATAAATTACAAAACTACATATTAGTATCGTCGAGTTAATAAAATGTTGTACATAGTAGGAATATTTTGATGGAGTTTTGTTCTCTGAGCTGGATGGTTTAGTCGTGGAGCTTTCATCGTTCTTCAGAACATCATCAGTATAAACTTCTACTTCATCGTTCATGCGTGATGTATCACACTTTTATTCATCTTTATGAATTGACTATATCAGTGTTTATTTTCAGTTATAGTAGTGGTGATGGAACCGTTTGTAATAGTTACGTCCCCTACTTGATTAGGGAAGAATACAGTATACAACTATCGGCACTCGAACATGTAGAACCCCACAGTCATAAATCGAAAGATGGAGAAAATAGAGGAGACAATTAGTGAATAAGTCATAAATGTACAGAAAAACAGAGGTATTTACAGTATTTGCTATAGCACCACTATAATCCAGCCAATCCTCAAGGAGGACACTATCCAATTATATGTTATATATATTCATAATTGTACAACTGAGTATGCATAATTTGATTGCATGTGATAATCTACACGTTTAGTACCTGATGACTCAGTCGTATTTCCGTAAATATTTGCCTGTTAAACAAAATTCATCATTTCGTCCTCGCTAGTCGTTTGATTTAATTTGTACTTAAAATACACTTTCCCCACAACTTCGTTTCAACTTCTGGAAATTGTACACCATTGAGAGCTATAATAAAAACGTTTTGAAAATCGATCATTATGCGAAGTATCAGAATAGATCAGAAGATATTCAACGGTACACTCTCTTACATATTACTTTTTAATACCGTTGACTTGGAATGCTTTACATACTACATGACAGAACATAGTGCAACTTACGAAAAAATTCAAGAAAAGGTTTTCATCAATCTATCTGCGTGATGAAGAATTAATATCTTGGCAATTATAACAAGCAAGAAAATATGCATGCGTGAGTAAAACAATTAGAAGTGGACAAAATGTTTTGTCTTTATAAATTTCAGATACGAATCGACAAACGAATATCGCTGAAATGAATCAAAAGATGAAAGCTATTACATCTAATATAAGCTATTTTGCACAGAATAGATGGATTGTGGCCATGAGTGAATGGGAGTTTCATCCTATTTCGAACTCATCAGCTGAAGATCACAGTTTTGAGTTCATAGTGACACCAACTTTTCGTTTTAAATGGCAACAAGATTCCCACTAAACTAATGTATCCAAATGCTCACTACTTGTTTAACGGGCACATCTGAATAACTATTGGTAACCTTTGATTGGACATGTAACAACAAACAAATTGAAATTTTGTCCTGAGTTTCAACTATTGGATTATTCAAACCCTTACTTATAATTTAAGTTTAAACAATCAGAGAATATGTTCCACCCAATTTTGAAATGAATCCTTGATATGCTTGAATGCTATTACGAGTTCACCTTACTCGGTAAACGGAACGAAGGTCAAAGATACAGTGACACGATAGGCTATTCTAATCCGTTGTCCCCGGTACTGCTAACTAGATCGAGAAGTCTTGATGAGGTGTAGAGAATGTATTCCACAAGCAACCAGAAAATACAAGGTCACTAAGCACACACATCAAGCTTATTTATACAATCATAGAAATGCCCTTGGGAGAGTCACAAAATAACGTACTAAAAAAACCGTCAGCCAATTACAGTCAAGGATTTCCGAGTGGGAAATGTAGGCCGTAGGTCAACCAAGCGTCTGTTGGCGCGAAAACATACATAAAATTCAAATTTTCAGAATAAAATTACAAAATTAGGACCACTTCCAAGTGAGTTCTGGGGATGTAACGACTTCAACAATCCTAATCTTGGAACTTTGAAATCTGCGTGACTTCGAAGTCAATTCTTAAAAAAATTGCGATCTGTCCAGACTGATCCACACTGTAACATTCATGTTGTTCATAATCAATCCAAGTAATTCCCAAAACAAGTTCACAGCGGTTGAGATTTATGTATTTCAACTGTTACTGCTTATGAGTAGTCAGTATTTTATTGCACAACTTTTCATTAGGATCTCAGTACCATTACTTTTATTGAACCAATGTATTTTTCATTAACAGCTACATTTAGTTGATTATTTTTGGTCTTGTCTGTGCTGAGTGTTTAGTTTTGTGTTTGATTTTATCACCTTAAATGTGATTTTGTAGCCCAAACTGATTATCATTTACTGTGAAATACTTTATTCATTTATTTATACTTCGAAAAGCTAAGAGAGATTTTGTTCTCTGAGTTGGATGGACCAAATCATCCACCTGAGCTACAGATCTTCTCGACCAAGCTAACTGTTACCAAGTGCGTTATTTTGTTATATCTATCGGTGAATACATATCTTCACCAGTCGTAATAAAATTGATTATATCAAAGTTTTGACATAACTGGACAAAGATTATGAAACGTAGAAGTTTCTGAAATGATTTTCGAATTATTATTGTTTATATTTTATTTGTGTAATTACTGAGTAACTGAAGTTATGATATTTATATATTGCGTCTACCTTACGCTTCCATTTAACTCTCCAACCATCGTTATCCCTATTTTATTGTCAATCGATTTTTCACAGCCACTTTCAGCTCATTTGTGTACAATTGTGATTTTTTACTTTACGATGGGGCGCGTTAAAGTATGTTTAAATGTAAGCCCACATCTATTTCAAATGTAATATTAATAGAAGTATGTTGGTGCTTTTTTGGAAATAAGGTAGGGTACATGGAAGAGCTTACAAATAGAGAACCAATAACAGCTTAGCTGCGTCAGCCGAATGACAATAGTGCTGGTATGCTTGGTCAAGTCTGGGACATTAGGCTAAAGGAGAAATAGTAGTTGAAGAATAGACAAAATTAGAATAAAAATTCTGATTAGTAACTTTAGCATATGATATTGGTTGACATCTCAAGATACAACCGAATTGGTGACGAAGATGGGATTCAAACCCCGATGAATTAGTAAATTGTAATATAAGTAACATTATATATAAATGTGTTTTTAGTGAGTCTACAACAGTTTTCATCATAAATATTTGCATTTAGAATATACAGTTTACAATTTTATACAATTTACAAATAAGAGATTATTTTCTGATGTTGTTTTCATTATACCAAAAATCTTTATAAATCATCATTCACTAAACCAAATAATCGAATAACACCTTGATCTCGTTCGTATTTCGCTTCACTTGAATAACTCAACAAATACTGTCGAGGATGCCAAGCAAGTACAAATGTAGCCGATGCATGTGTTCCAACTTGATAGACTTGTTCACCTGTTAAATTATTTTGAGAGGGGCGAATAAATGAATAAATTAATTAAACACTTGATTTGTAAGTTATTGGTTAGGATTAAAATAGTAAGTCTAAAATCAATTACTGACTTATCGTAACAAGTTTCATTGAACAAGGTAGTTTACATACAGTACAAATGTAGTGAACAAGAACACCAATGGGGACAATCGAATGTATTTGACAACAAATTACAGAACTAGTTAGTAAAATCTAACAACCATATATTAAATACTCAATTTGCAAAATGTCCATCAATTGTCTCAAATGACTCAGACTTCCTTTGTCCTTGTATTTTCACACAAATTGCATTCTGTTTCCATTCTTTACTGTTCGGTCTTTTTGTCTCTCTACTGCCAGACATTCTGTTCACGACAAACATCATATACTACTACTTATGTCTACATAAGTAGCACACACCACACAAAGACAATTAAATGGGTCCTTTTTTAATTGACGAAATCAATTTAGTTTGAATATGAAAATAAGTAGATGAAAAACAGTAGTGTGACTAATAAAAATATGTATCGGTCTGAGTTGTTACATTTTACATTAATAGTGAAGTGGGATAAGCATAAGAATTTAGATAATAATATTAATAGAGCCAGAACGTTGTTGACAAAACAGAGAAAGACAAAAAATACATTCTACTATTTAGTACATGTGTTCAGATTTCCTTTTGAGTTACACACTTTGCGTTTGACCTAACAATATTATTTCGATGATCGAAGAAAAGGGATCAGGATTCCAACATTCAGTTTATTGGTTGATAATGTAAAACTATATGTATCAGATAACAATTTAGTCAAAATTTAGGAAACAATAAAGAATGTGTGTACTTAGGCCAAAATAGTCAACATACATTTCCGCTCTCCCCTTACCATCCACAGTCAAGTGGCCAAGCAGAAAGGTTTGTGAACATGTATGAGAGAGCTCTACTTAAATCAAATGAGAGGATGCCAGTCGAAATACTACAGAACTTCTTATTTGTTTGTCGAACAACACCAAGTGACACGTTGCCAGAGCAGAAGTCTCCAGAAGAGGTCCTCATGGGAAAAAGACTGAGAACGACGCACGACCTGATGCTACCGAGAACTACGTTACCACCCCAGATTAGGTCCCCGGAGCTGTTAACGTAAAAGGTTGGGTGTCCGATGTATTCTCGGGAATACAGACCAAACTATGATTCCGTGAACTGAAACATGTGTGGTCAGGACATTTTTGTACTATATATAAACGCATGAGTTGTGTGCTTGTTCTTTAATGCTTCCGACTTCTAGTGGAATCTACTTTTCCCTCGGCTGGATCTGGTCTTCTCCATCTAGTTAGTGGCTGGGTCGCAGTGGAATAGTTTAGCTTGTCCTGTTTTTTTGCTACTGACTTTCGTTCCCTTAGCCGGTTTTAGGTGATACCGTTATCTCTCTAAACTTGGCAGTTTTTCAACTCCACTAATTGAACCCTCGATATACACCAACTCATCTTAAGTGTCTTACGCTCTCTTTTCGTTCTTTCACTTTCGTATAGACATGTGAAAGCCTTTTAAGAATGAGAATAAACTCTCCCTACCCTCAGCGGCATTACTGCATATCTAGGCAATTATATTGTCAGAGATGTTGACACATCCTAGCAAAAATCGAATTTTCAGCGGGAGTACAACAGTTTTTATAACAAACAGTAATAAGAGTTAAGATCTCTGACAAGCACAATCATTCCATAAGATGCAACCTTAATGAAACATAAGTACAGCTAACTGCAACTAATCACCATTCATTATGCTTTTTCTAAAAGGGATTTGTAAAACATTTGATACATAAAATCTAAATGAAGAAATATTAGGGTGAAAATAAGAATTAATAGATATGATTGAAAAAGAAATCCAAAATGATAACTCAATCTGCTAGCCTAATATAACAACATAATCCAGGTTCTTACGCGAATTCATCAACCCTGTATCAAAAGTCTTCCAACCTAAACAGACATGGATAACATTTATATTTCACCAGAAAGAAAAACACTTAGGTCCAGGGTATCCTGCCGACTATCATAAGCCACCTAACATTAATGTTACTAATAACAGAATTTCAGCTATTACTTAAAGGTAGTCAAACTGAACATTAAGTGGTTTTCTAATTGAAAATATACTGAACCTAATACCCTAGTTCATTGAACATCAAACTAAACGAGTATAAATCAGCATAAACTGTCAAATTTGAATATCTGTGGTAAACAAGCGGAGGATAGACACCAAGAAAGCGAAGGATCACCGATAAAATGCTAATAAATGACTTTAATGTAACATACTGATTTTATACTCATCTTACTCAGAGTCAAACCAAAATAAAATATTTGTGAGTACTTTCACGTTAACTTCTTCCGGCCAACAATAATTCAAGGGTTCTAATGTGAAGTAATGAATTATTTTTTCTGGTTAGCGTTTTTTAGCGAGTTAGTTTTCTACGGGATGGGATCATTAACCCCATGCCCAATCCTCCTCCTTTATCTGGGTTTGGGACCGATAATAGCCCGGAAGGGATCCAGGCAGTTTTTTTCAAGTCGTTTGTTAGGCATTTTTCAACAATTGACCGAACACATTACGCCGAGAAATGGAGACAGACATGAGAAGAGTGAACAACAGTTGGATAGACCTAGAAAGGAATGCCCAGCACAGAGTGAGTTAAAGAATGCTGGTCGGCGGTCTACGCTCCATTGGGAGTAACAGGAGTAAAGTAAGTAAGTAGTGTGAAGTAATGACCAGCAGAGTCCAACTGTGTCGGGTGTGAGACAGTTAATGACCAAAGACAATGAAAGATAGTTGCACAATATCTTGGATTGATTAAAGTAAGATGGTGACTCAGTCGTTTAAACAGTAAGAGACCTGAATGTACTGTGTTCGATCCGCAATGAGGTTGTGAATGCGCACTTCCCATTAAAAGATAGAACAACTATCTATCGCTTTCTGATTTTCAATAACTTCCCAAATTATATCCTTTTCCAATCTTGATAAACATTTAAAATTTTAATTTGTTGGAGATTTTTAGCTTATGACAAAAAAAGAGACTCCACTATTAAACTTTTACGTTTGTTTTTATTCTTAAGTTAAGTGCATCAGCAACCTTAAAGACATTTGTAGCTATCCGAACGTTCATACTCGTGCTCTACTAAAATACCAATTAAAAGTAAAATTGTATTATGAACGAAAGTTACAATTTTTACCTGTTTGTACATGGCCAATATCAATGAAATGATCTTCGCTAGCTGCGGCGATTAACTTTCCATCATAAGAGAATCCCAAAGTGCGTACTGGCCATTCTAAGCTAATGAGAAAAAAATACATCAGAAGAATGATACTTCGTGACAGTCATCAGTTTTTGTGATCACAATAGCCCATCATTTTATTTAAGTTAGTCATGATAACCGTAGAGCTTGGTAAAGGTGTTAACCCAAATTACCACAGCACAATAGTAAAACGAGATGAACTTAAAAGGGTGAATACAAAAGCAGTCAAAATAATGTAGTACCAATGATAATGGGAAAGACTAAACATTGAGAATATGGTTCGAAAAGACAAGATGAAAAGGTATGTATTAAAGAATACTGAAAACCAAAATCTGGAGTAAAATAAAAAGTGGATACCCCTTCGCGATTGTGATCGGTTTTGAATTACTTACCGAGATTATCTCACGAACCTCAGTCAGCTGTCTAAATTTATAAACATGACTCGTCCCAATAGTCAGTGGATACACGGACTGATGTAATATCTTAGTTTTCTCGCGCCTAACTTTCTTCCAGTCTATTATTATATCACTAAACATTGTGTCAATGCGGGCGGTGGCTAGACCTACGGAGAATGTGCTTCAAGCAACTCAGTTGATGAGCCTTCATCAACTGGTTAGCCACTCAAAGCCTAACGTCAAAATTGCTTACTTGTTCCACTATACTCGACCAATGCTTCGAAAACACTTATGATCAAAATAAATGTCTTCTGCTTTCAAAGATCACTTTTTACAGCCATTGAGTAGTACAGAGTGAACTCCTGTATAGTATACTTTTCCTTTAGTCGGCAGACGAATATTTTGTCTACATTGCAGGTGATGATAGTTGGCAAAACACAACTGAGTTTCATGAACTCGTATTGAAATTTCGTCAAACGTCAACCCAACAGGACTGATGAGACTTTCAAGATAAATGAAGTTTGTTGATATGTTAGATAAACAAAAATGATGAGATGAATAATGTATCTTATTTATTCACTTAGTAATTCGTTTGCTAGTTTAAAGTTGACATAAGACGTGGTTAGAACGATGAAATGTTGATCAAGCACAATTTAAAGCAACATCGAAAAACAATATGTCAACGACAGAGATGAGAAAGTATGAAGGAAAACACAACGCGATAAAATGTTGAAGATTCAAAAATAATAACAAAAAAGTAGTTGTGTTTGAACTATTTCTATGAAAGGGGTTTCGTTATTGCTTTCCAAAGTCCTACTATAGAAACTGGCCAAGTATTAAAAGTTACTAAAATGAGTTGTATCAAATGATAAAATAAGTAGGAAAATAGGATGTAATCAGAAACGACATAAAAATGACTAAAGATCAGTTTAAAATGAACTAAACACATGAAAGATAAAAAACGATTTAAAGGATCAAAATTTAAGACTATAGGAATAAATAGTTTAATGACTTTACAACTATGAATGAGTATTATTGAACTTTGAGGGATTAAATGTACATTGAATAAATAAACCTGGCACACAAATTGATGCATACGTCAAGCTGATTATGTGTGAGAGCTTGTTTCTTAGGCTACTAGAAACCGCTGTCGGTTAGATAGCAATGGGTATTCATATTAACCCGAAATCGATGTGGCAGAAAAGCTTTTAATAACTTCGTTTGTAAAATTATTATGTTCTTCAACATGTTTGTTCCCTACTTTGTTTCTTTGACATTTTTAACAACAATTATATTTTTAATCCTTTAATAAGATCTCTTTGGGTTCTTATTTCTTTATTTAATCCTTTATTGTACATCTTATTTATTTATTTGAACACATAAATATTTGTACAAAGAGGTACCGAATACATATGCACTACACAAGTCACTTGATTTATGTGTGGGCTATGATACTTCCCGGGTATTATTTATTTATTTGAACACATAAATATTGGTACAATGGGGCACCAAATATGTATGCGCCACACAAATTTTTATTTCATTTGTGTGTGAGTTGTGATACTGCTCGGGTGCCCAAACCGAAGCAGGTGGTTTTCTTAGGGGGCCACACCCGGAGTCTTTGATCCAAAGGTCTAACCCACAAGGCAGTGGAGCATCGTAAGGAGATGCAGTCCCATGGTAGCCGGTGACCAACGATTGGTTCATTCGCCATTTGTTCCCTCAGGATACTGGAGCCCATGTGCACTATTGGTTTGGGATCCGGTTAAAGCACCAGACATTCCCTTTTCGTCCTCTCATTTTCGTAGACAACACCCCCGCCACGAGAAGGCAGTGAGTAGGACTTCCCTAGCAGAGGCTGTATACGCGTGGCCGTGTAAGAGCATTTTGAGAGGGAGGGCGGCCCCACCCCACTCTCGGCCATAAAAGGTGCCCAGACCAAAGTAGGTGGTTTTCTTAGGGGGCCACACCACGAGCCTTTTACCTAAAGGTCCGATCCACAAGGCAGTATAGCGATGTCAGGAGATGCAGTCCCATGGTAGCCGGTGACCAACGATTGGTTCATATGCCATTTGTTCCTTCAGGATACTGAAGCCCATGTATACTACTGGTTTGGAATCAGGGTTTTCCAACTCCCATAAGTGAATCCTTCATATACACCAACCCGGTTAAATCGCCAGGCACTCGCTTTTTGTCTTCTCGATTTCGTAAACAACACCCCAGCCGCGAGAAGGCAGTGGATAGGACTTTCCTGGCGGTGGCTGCATACGCGTGACCCTGTGAGAGCATTTCGAGAGAGAGAGAGCTGACGCTCCGCATTCTCGGCCGCACAAGGACATTTGGCGGCTATTGTACGTTACCAACATATTATGGACGGTCAGTTGAAATATTGTATATAGTTGGGACGGAACGTTGGTTAAGTGGCTAAGGAGTTTGACTTTCAGTCAATAATTCACAGATTCGAAACTTCCTTTATTTGTTTCAATTTGAGCAAATAGATAGTATCGCTACTAGCCTCACAGTTAGGAAATGACTGGAAGTCATTTTTATGAACCTATACTTAATAAATGAAATATAATTTAAATAATATAGTTTTGAGAAAATGAAGTTACTGAAAAATTCGATAAACTTACCGAGATAATGTACGTAGGCAAACAAATTCATCTGCATCCCAAATGGACACTAGAGCATCCGCACTACCAACAGCAAATTGATGACCTGTTGGTGAAAATTGAAGACACATTGCGTTGACTGGGTGAGCTTGGATACTTGCTTCACGTTTCATGTCACCTGGTTTCCCACTGTGATAAAAAATCACATAATCAAAAGGCTTTTTATTTATAAGAAATGCCAGATTCATCAGTCAGTTTATACTACTCAGACTATTACTAAACTAGGAGGCTTTAAGAATAATAATTGATAATCAGTGTAATTATTCTGAGAGAATACAAGTAAAATAAGAAACATTTGTTTTAATGGTATATACTAGAAAGAGATCTCATTTGGTCAAGGAATTTTATAAAACTTGTTTAACATAGCTTATTATTTTTTAATTTCGATAATGTAATAAGAAGACGGAGATTATCATTATCGAAATTTATAAAAGGGACTAATTGCTTTAAACATTATTTTTTAGTTTAGTCAATGAAAAGAACTGGTCCGCTAATAATTTGTAATGTATTGTATTACTTCGTCACTTCCATTATAGAATATATTCACAAATTATTCGTAAAAACATATCATCTGTGCTATGACATTAGTAATTAGAACTTTCACAGTGTATAAAATGACGTTACCATGAAATGGGGACGCTTAAAAGTTTATTTTGTTCGACCAAACCTGTCCGTTTAGCACTGCGTGCAATCGATAGACACACTACCTAAGTAAAACTGGTGTCCGTTAACCATATTTTAGAGCGTTACATACTATTAATCAGTACTTTAAAACACAAACAAAAGTAAACCCCACGGAGCACGAATAATAAAACCTATCATCTCAAATAGTTAATATAGTAGATAGCTACGGTATATTTCTTGTGAGACTGCCGAAAGCTCAAAAGATAGTTTTGAAAACAGGATACTATAGAGTTAACTATTTATTAAAATAGGAATATCTTACCAGCAAATATGAAGACGATATTATATTTGTCTAATAATACACAAAGAAATGCTTGATCTGTTAGTATATATTTTGAATTGCGATAATTAAAGTTACTATGCTACCACAACTATCATTTCACGACCTAGTTTTCAACTATGTGCTATTATAGACAATTTTCAGTCTATTTTATGGTTAGTACGTGCAAAATAAACTCCAAGGATTCGTAGAATTAGGGTCGAAGCTTTCATAAGACGTTTGGATGGAGTATTTATTAGATAGAAATACATTTCTTAAGTAATCCGAGTACACTGTAAGATTGTTACGAGAAAATATATGGAGGAATATGCCGGGTACAATAAGCTGGGAAGTATGTGTTGTAGTTGACAAGTAGCACGAATCAACTGTTACACACTCAATAGAAAACAAGCGATTCTTCGTTTTCCCAATTCTGTTTTTCTTTAGTTTGTGGACCTCATAGTTTTATCATATTAATCACGGTAGTCTTGCTATAAGGTATTAAGTCAGCGAGTTGCAACGTAGAGCCTGGTAAGTGTATACATCATTTCAAATCCTCATAACCCATCAGTGCAATTGTTCATCGCAAAACCTAAGTCTAATTTCTCATTGTCAGTTGGTTTGTTTTCCTCTTGTTTCATTGATAAATATATAACAATAGTTCCCACATGAGTTCCCTGAAAAACGTGATCAGTGTAATTGCAAAATTTTTTGCTATTTTTGAAAATAGTTGTAATTAAGTACCAACCTGTAGACTAATATACTTCCAAGACCAGTAGTTAAAAGAAACGCTTCCCCACTAGGGTTCCAGGCGAATTCATTAATTTCTGAAGTGAACTGTTCCGCCTGTACCACTTTGAATCCAGCACGCAAATCAAACCATGAAACCTAAAACAGTAGTAAGGAGATATATTTGCAAACAACTCTTCAGTATGAATAAAAGGCGAAAATTATTACTGGAGTATAAACTACCTAGTAACAAACATATTTACGCGTTTAAGACAAAAGCCAGGAACGTGGTAACGGAAATTCAGCGATCTGAGGTAATGAAAATAGTTATATTTTTAAAACTTGGACACAAGATGAAGCTGGTAAAAAAAGGCTTAAATTACGCAAATAAGGTATCTAAATAAAAACTTTACCAAAGTGAATAATAACCAGATAACAATGGTTATACTTTGGCTGACATGGCTCAGAGTCGTTTGCAACAGCGATGATGCAAACACAGTCTTTCTCTAGTACATGAATCCCGAAACCCCCTATCCCTTGTTTATTTTCTCGTACCTAACCATTTTTTACAATTACTGCCCCTACTACTCTGAGATTTATTTGGAAACAATTTTATTTTGCTATGTTAATGTGGCATTCCTACACTTGAAGAATATACGAAACTCAAAACAACTGTAAATCATTATCGAAACCAAAATCCTCATTACGACACATCAAGACAGTTCAACTGTATGGAACTGAAACTTGGAGAACTACTACGACCACCATTAACAGTGTACAAGTATTTATAAACAATGGTCTTCGCAAAATTACTCAACATACATTGGCCGGATACCATCATTAACAGCCTTATTTATTTATTTATTTTAACACATAAGTATAGGTACAGGGAGGCACCAAATACATATGCGCCACACAAATCTCAATTGATTTGTGTGAGGGCTGTGATACTGCTCGGGTGCCCAAACCGAAGCAGGTGGTTTTCTTAGGGGGCCACACCCCGAGCCTTTGACCTGAAGATCTGATCCACAAGGCAGTGGAGCATCGTAAGGAGATGCAGTCCCATGGTAGCCGGTGACCAACGATTGGTTCATACGCCATTTGTTCCCTCAGGATACTGGAGCCCATGTGCACTATTGGTTTGGGATCCGGTTAAAGCACCAGACATTCCCTTTTCGTCCTCTCATTTTTGTAAACAACACCCCCGCCACGAGAAGGCAGTGAGTAGGACTTCCCTGGCAGAGGCTATATACGCATGGCCATGTGAGAGCATTTCGAGAGGGAGAGCGGACTCTCCCCACTCTCGGCCGTACCAGGGCATTTGGGGGCCATTAACAGCCTACTGTGAGAGAAAACAAACCAGCTTCCACCCGAAGAGGAAATTAGGGAAAGACGTTCAAGGTGGATAGGACATACATTGTGGAAATCATCAAACTGCATCACGAGGCAAGCGCCCACTTTGAATCCTGAATGGAAATGGGAAAGAGGAAGACCAAAGGACACACTGCACCGAGAAACGGAAACAGACATTAAAAGGAACAATAGCAACTAGAAACAACTTGAAAGAATCGTCCAGAACAGAGTTCGGTTGAGAATGCTAGTGGACGGCTTATTCTCCTCCACGAGGGGTAACAACAGGCGTGAGTAAGCATGTTAATGTGGCATGGCATCTTGAAGTGATGTATACGTGTCAGGCTCTATGTTGAATATGATGGTATATACGCCAATAGATCCGATCTCTTAAAAATGTAGGTATGATTACCAAAATCTGATTTGATAATTTCGAATAAATTGAGCATTGGGTAGATTATTATAAATATTTATTATTTATTTATATCTTAAAAATGTGTTTGACGTAAACTAAGAGGTTAAACATAAGTCTTGTTATGTCTTCACAGTAGAACATTTTCAGTCATTGAAAGGCAAAATTGAGATGAAGTAGCTTTAAGTTATTGAAGCCTCAATATACCAAGAAACCCCTAATTTCTGAGCATCCCAATCTCCCAAGTTTGGGGAAATTTTTGGGTTTTAGTGCCATTTCCCCAAAATCAGGAGCACGGGATGCATTAAAGACAAAATAGAATTTATTTGGTCTTACAAAATAAACCAGAAATTCGCTTCCACTCTCAAGGGTGGTAAATTAAGATACAAAGTAAAATTCAAAATTTGCTTTTGGTTTTGAATAAATCTTGTGATTGCGCTTAAAGTATATTTGCTGTGAAAACGAATTTACTTGTTTACATTAACAAACAACATGAATTTGGCTGCATGTATTGGATAACAAATAACACAAAGTGAAAAAGGGTAGCTGTATGAGCAAAAAAAAGAGGTTAAATAAATATACCAAATCTGTTTTGCTACCAACGGCGATATAACGTGCATCCGGTGACCATGCCAAATTAATATTCTCTCCTTTACATTGTGCTGTGATTGGGTCTTTTTTGGTCCGACAGTCCCACAAACGAATAGCACTATCTGCACCCACAGTTGCAACAACATCATTATCTGATGGGTGCCAACAAAGTTGGTCTACACTTTCATTATGTCCTCGGAAACTATGTACTTTTGTCTGAAAAAAACCGGATAGAGCGAAATCCCAACTAACTAGTCTTGTGGATTCTAATGAGTATATATTTACAAGCTTGTCAGATGATCCAGATGCTAACCTTGACCCACTGCTATTCCACCCAAGTGTATGTATTTTCCCCCCATAACCAGAGAAATCCTTAACACGGGAATTCTTTAGAAAGTAACTTTTCAAGCGACTTAGTTCTTCCGATTTCATAATGTCACCTTTTGAGAGCACCTCACATCAAAATAAGGCAACGATCGAGTAGTGTCGTCCACTGACGGAGGTTACTGAGCACCTGAAGGTCAAAGTAACGCTGAAGTTAAACCCGACTCCGTTTCGTAATTTCTGCAATGAAATTAGCGACCAATCACAATGAAGCAGGAATTATCATTTCTTCCATCTTTGTTAGTAATAATAGTCCGCTTACCTCGTTCTGTGTGTTTTTCCTCTATTATTTTGGTTTGACTGCATACATTAATATATTAGAGTACTAAGATTCCGCAATTTATGTAATACTCCATGTGTTGGCTACGTTCTTTCTGAATCCGTTTTGTTTTCTCGATTTTTGCTACTGCTACTCAAGCCAGTGCATCCCTCCAGGCAACGTTACTTTTTATGTGATAAAATGTTAATCCGTTTTGTTTTTAGTATAATTTTGTAGATATGGAAAATCACAGTTGGTTTTTTGTAGCTAAAATAGATGTTGCTGTTTTTTGGGATTCTCTAGCAGTCCGCACGTTCGTTCCTAATGTAGTGACCTACTTTTGTCAACAGAACAATTATTATTATAACCAATTGTACCAGTGACTGTTTTACTGTGCTCGTTTGTTTAATTATGCTAATGACAGCCATTACACTTACTCTCCCGTTGACTTTGAACTTGTACGAATCCGGTTACGTTTAGTAACCACGCTTGTACTCCTTTGGCACGTTCTCGGTATTCTTTCGATACCACGAGATCGACAACAAATACATCTCGACTACAGCCATCATCTGTCTTCTGATATTGGACTACGGGGATCTTATTGAATAATTGGCACGTAGTCTTGTAGTAGTATTCATAGTCAATCGCTACTCGACTCCACGCTACAATTGGTGAGCCAAATCTTAGAACATGCATCAACCTCTGGTCAAATCTTCCAAAGAAAGCAATTCGGTGAGTCTATTGTTTATCTATCCACGTATGTCGTATATTTTCATATTAATTTTTAATATATATTATACTCGTTATGACGGATAACGATAAGAATAGTATTAATATAATAGACTCCGATGTACGTGTACCGAATCCTCGGCACTTTTTATTCGCGTGACGATAAATTCCACGCTTTATTCGAGAAATTCCCCAGAATAACTAACCACTCGAAGAGATTTCATCGGTGACCAATCGTGTGGTACACCACATAGTCACTCGCGAACCACCAGTCACGGCAAGACCACACCGACTGGCACCGGACAAATAAGCTTTCTCTAAACGTGAGTTTGACAATTTACTATCTACTGGTATTATTCGTCCTTCTCACAGTCCCTGGGCCTCTCCTCTTCATATGGTGCGCAAAAATGATGGGGTTAGTTGGAGACCATGCGGCGACTACCGAGCATTAAACGTAGTTACGCGCTTTGATAGCTACCCCATCCCCCACATACACGACATCACGGCATCGCTCAAGGGCACGACTATCTTTTCTAAGATATTTCTGGGTCACAGCATCAGACAAGGGGGTATTCTGCCTTGCGAGGACAAAGTTCGAGCAATCAAGGAGTACAACGTGCCGTCCTCAATCAAGGAACTGAAGGCTTTTCTCGGTTTGGTTAACTTCTACCGACGTTTCATCCCTCACGCGGCAGAACGGTTACGACCATTAACCGATTTACTACGCGGTAATCCACGCAAATTAGAATTGAACGATACCACACGTACTGAATTCTCAGAGATCAAAACGGCTCTCGCTGAAGTTACACTTCTCGCTCATCCTGACCCATCAGCTACGCTTAGTATAGCGGTTGATGCATCAGATTTTGCTATAGGAGCCGTTATGCAACAGAATATCTCCGGCAGTTGGCAACCGCTTGAATTTTTCTCACAACGCCTTACTCCCACGGAGACGAGATATAGTGCTTTTGGTCGCGAGCTGCTTGCAGCCTACTGCGCCATTGAACATTTCCGGCACGCAGTAGAAGGACGTCAATTCATTTTATTCACCGACCATAAGCCCTTAAAGTATGCCCTGCATACCAAATCTGACCGCTACTCACCACGAGAGTGCAGACATTTGGACTATATCTCTCAGTTCATGACAGACCTTCGTCACATTAAAGGCGAGTCGAACTATGTTGCCGATGCTCTATCACGTATCCAAGCGAATGCAGTTACCTTGTAGTGGCATTGAGCCCTAACACGAGACAAAATGGAAAATAGACATTTAACATTTAACGCTGGGAAATACCCAACAATGGAGAAGGCGGGAATAAGGAATTTTGAATTAGTCCGAGTGGATCGGATGGCATGGCTCGGCCTTGCAGGCGTGGTCCCAGCTGATTGTTATCTTGTATCTTCTATTCATATTAAATATATTCTATCTCTAGCCTAAGCTTGTTCTCTATCACGTATTGGTAATTGTTACAATGCAATGAATCGGTGTAGACGATGATGTAACTTCCACGTAAGATCTTATAGATTAGGCAGTTACATCATGATAAATCTACAATTTTAGGATTAGGTCTATTATTAGAGCAGTGCTATTATCATAGTAGACCGTAATTCGAAATTGGTGAGCCCGACTTAAGAAACGCAACCTCTTATTCTTCATTCATATTTCCATGGAAAGTTAAAGTGCTTTAACTTTTTCGATAGATATTTACTTATGTAAACCCATTATTCTAATAGTCCTCTGATTAATGCTCATATGTATTATCTTAACGCTATATTGATTATTACTCATAACTTACTAGCTTAATCAATAATAAAAACTGGTCATCTACATTAACTAATTAGCTTTTGATGGTTCGTTAACAAGCTTTAGTAGCATTTACATGCTTCAGCGAAACAAACTTGTTTAACATCAAGCTCCAGCAAATATGATCTGTAAATAACGTAAATATACGTTGACTAGCAACGTAAGCAAGGACTAAACTGTTATCTGGATCTAATTCTTCATATTGTTTCTTCACGTAACTCCTCATTCTGTCTTAAACTATGCACTATCCTGTCATATTTTTTTATTCTGACCACTGCCTGCCTAATTTCCAATCGCTAAGTTCCATGGCCAAACAGGATGCAAATGCTAGAAATTTAAGGTGAGTTTGAACTATAAATTTGCTGCAATCTTAGATCTCGTTTAGACTGTTTGTCAGGCAATGCTACATATTTGACTTAAATTAATTTTGAACTTACACAAATCCAGTTTTCAATGCTGGGTTAATCCAAGAATTTAGTCGACAGTACCTCGTGTATAATCCAGATTCGAATTACTGTCCAATTCAAATCATCATTACCTGGAAGCGAAAACAACCCAGGCGAGTTTTACTTTTTCCCTTTCCTGGTTCATTTATTATGATTTAAGTACTTCTTAACTTAGATTTTTTCTGTTAGACTGGTTTTGTATATTTCATACGAGCCACTCCCAGGACTAAGTAGAAATATTCAATACTTTTATACCACAACATTCTACTAAGAAAACGTGCTGTTTAAAGGCATTTCTTATTTTTAGTTCCCTTTGCACACATTTATAAATATCGCTAGGTTAACTATAGCGACGTCTTATGTAAAGTTTATAACTCATCATATTCCTAACTGAAATTCCATAAGTCGTCTCGATTTAGAAAAATATTTTTCATTTTGGCCCTGTTTATTATTTTTAATTTGCCATATATCTCAACAACCTGCATGTCAATCTGGCCCGTACTTGCATTGCATTATATCTCTATGCCTCTTAAATTTAAAAATCATCTGAATCGCCTTTAACATTTTCAATAAACTCGTCATAGACATTACTGCTATACGTATTTGGGTTTACGAATTGGTCTAGTGTATTAGTAGCCTAGAAAGACGAACATATAAGGGATAATCAAGTCACCAAATCTAGGTATTATCATACTGCACTAATTTAATAACTACATTTTTCATGTTGTTCGACGAACAAATATTTAAAATTAAATCTCCGAAGCCTATTATTAAAATTAACATTATGTACACGAATATATTTAAATTACCATTAGTAATATAAACAGGTAACTCGGATTCGTTCACGCTACGAATTTCTGATAATTTTGAATCACACAAAGCAACAGCATCTATTTTTCACTGGATTATCCTCAATCAACACTATAATTATTTTAACATAATGGTTTCAGGATATCGTCATAAAGCATTGTCATGACTTGACAATCACGTAATATGACTGATAAAGTTGACGAAACTATTAACAAATCGGTCAGTAAATCGACTTATAATTATCATTAAGTAGTGTTGCTTTTCTTTTCATTCACTAAGGATGATTACAGTATGTTTATCAGTTGCTCATTCAGTAAATATCTCAAAACCTTGTCAGTCTAATTGGAGGTTTAGTGACACAATCATGCATGCAAATAATCAGTATAAGCAGTCGAGCGAATCTCCTGTAAACTGCAAACATCAATGTCGAATTTACCCCAACACTGACTAGGGTTCAAGTCATTATCATAGACATGAGTTGGGAGTGTACTCCCCTTGGTTACAACTTATGTTCTTCCTGATAATCACATGAGCATCACTCACTGTTGATCATCTTGTAAAGACTTATTTAGCCAAAGTCAACTCGCGGCACTACATCACACACAACTTATAATCACTATATCTCAATCAAATCGTATTCCGCCTCATGCTAAACTGTATACTTGCAAATAACTTGTATGCACCATCAACCGGTAGGTATAAATATAAATAAATAGTCTATGGCAAGTCAGAACATGGAGTCTAGAGCATGTCTCTTACGAATACACTCATGTTTAACAAATCGCTCTTATCTATCTGTCCGAAATCCACATGATTATCATGCTACACTTTTCTTTTTTTGATTTTTTTGTATCCTGAGCCCACGCCTCCGACCATCGCCCGTTCGGTAACGTCGACTTCAGTCAACTTTGGCGAAAGCTGGTTTGGCACCCACGCTTTTGTCAACACACTCAATCAATAATCTGGTTTCGAATTCGCCTGGCATATATTTGGTTTCGCG